TTTTCATATAAGTCTCCCATCAGATGGTGAAAAATCGTGAAAAACGAAAAAAAAAATTATTATCATTTTTTTCAATTCTCAAATGCTGGTCAATTTTTTGTATCGCCTGGATCAATCAGAATTAAAAATTCACATTCTTTATCATCCAAATCACACTTGGCGAATAATACACGCAAGTGTCATTTTGCTGCTATATGGCGACTTTATATGAAACTCCAGACAATATATTTAGCTGCCGTCATCTGGATATTACAGCTCATCTGGATATCGTCAGCAGATGATACGAAGTGAAAACAATTGAAGTGATTGTTATAGGTATATAAGCTTGTTATATACTGGTATTACTATAACAATCACTTCTATTGTTTTCAATTCGTATCATCTGCTGACGGCATCCAGATGAGCTGAAATATCCAGATGACGGCAGCTAAATATATTGTCTGTGAAACTCTCCTTGTAATACCTAAAATTTGCTGAAGTAAATGAGTTAAAATACACGCGGACTTAAGTGGCGACATCTAACAGTCAGCGGTAAAAATTAATCGATACACCCAATATTTTGACTGAATTTAAATGAATTTTGCATTTTTATGTTTTACTTTTACTTTGCCAGTGGTCTAACATCAATATTTCTTATTTTTGGCATGTTTGGCACCATTTTGGAGCATCTCATCAATTTCGACGTAAAAATGAACCTTATACAATTTCAACAACAAGAAGCATTGAAGTACTACCATCATTATTATTACTTGAGTGGTGGCAAATACAATTCCAATGGCAATGTTTTGCGACGAATACTATTGGCGTTTTCATTTATTTACAAGGCGAACTCTTATTTAGTGATAAACCAAAATTTTGCATCAGTGAGGTGATTGAAATCTCTGGCCTTCGTGTTCTATGTCTACTGTGGCTGCTATTGTACCATGTGTGCATCGTTTTGTATTATATTTCTGGTATGCATATCTTTATCTCATATATATTTTGCTGTAATTTCATATTTTGCCTACAAACTGATTGAACACACAGATAACAAAATGTATCAATTTCGCTTGGATGGATCAAATTTGGTGCAAGGAATTTTGAGCAGTGGTTCTCTTGCAGTAGATACGCATTTTTTTCTATGGTAAGAATGGAATACCTATATATATATTCCATTTGATGTTTATTCGTTCATTTTTTTAGCGGAGTTTGCAAGGGGCGGAGCAGTACTAGATTCAATTCTATCAATTCCATTCAATTCCACTGAATTCTATTCAATTTCAAATTAAATTCTAGTCCGTGTGTTTTAACTCATTTACTTCAGCAAATTTTAGGTATTACAAGGAGAGTTTCATATAGCAGCAAAATGACACTTGCGTGTATTATTCGCCAAGTGTGATTTGGATGATAAAGAATGTGATTTTTTTTATTCTGATTGAACCAGGCGATACAAAAAATTGATCAAAATTTGAGAATTGAAGAAAAAAAACTATTTATTTTTTTGTAATTATTTACGAGAGATCTCCTTGTAATACCTAAAATTGGCTGGAGTAAATGAGTTAAAATACACACGGACTAGAATTTAATTTGGAATCGAACAGAATTGAGTGGAATTGAATGGAATTGAAAGAATTGAATCTAGTACTGCTTCGCCCCTTGGGAGTTTGTGTTGCCCACATGTTCTTCAATCGAATGAAAAACATTGATGTCGAGGCGATCTCTTCCTGTTTCGATACATTGCTTCATATTGTTTCGATGATCGCGTACAAAGTGCTTAGCATGACATTTTCGTACATTGCATCATTACTCCTATTGCAAATGTGTATGAAATATTTCCACGACTACGGAGTGATCGAAATACCGTCGATGGATCATCAGACATGTGAGGCTAGTATGTGGCGCAATATCATCTACATTGATCAATTTTATCCACTGAAAGAACGAGTGAGTTCCGATTTTCTGTTTTGTGAACATTTTCATTTCGATACGAGTAATTTTGTGAATTTTTATTTTCATTGGAAATTAGTGTATGGTTTGGTCATGGATTTTATCAATAGAGGTTCATTGTTTCATTGTTGCTTGCATCATTCTATTGATTTTAAAAAATCATCCACGCTTTGGCATCGTTATCTTCAGTTCGTTCTTGATAAGTTCATTGATTGCAAATACAGCACTGCGATTTTATCAACACGAACCAGAAATGAAAGTTAGCTCCAGGTGAAAGCGGCGTCAATTTGAGAATTACAGCAATGACATGATACATACAAAAATGATGCGAACACTTTACATATAAATTAAATAATTTCAGTTTGATTTCCGAAGAGAGCCTAACATTTTTCAATGGATTTTTTTTTCAACCATGGACCCGACTCTCGCCATACATTTTTGGCATTTGTATTGGATATGTTATACATAAGATCGATAGAAAGCTGGAGATTAGCATTGGAATGATGTCTTGCGGTTTGTATACTCAATATAAACACAAATTATGAAATAACAATGGTGATTTGTTCATTTTTCGTCTATTTTATAGGCTGGATTTCGTGTTTCTTATTGGTGATTGCGCTTATTTTTAGTAAATCTCTCATTTCGTTAACAACGAATGCCATTTTCTCAACGATTATCCATATGACGTGGAGTATAATTATACTATGGATTATTATCGCATCGATATCCAAACATCGAGGTATTGTATGCAAAACGTGACTTTTTCACCGAATAAATTACAAAAGACTAAATAATTGGCATTATACACATAAAGGTTTAATCGGACATTTGCTCACATCGAAGTATCTTCTGCCTCTGAATAAAATGACAAACAGTTTTATACTGATTTTTCCAATCGTTACACGTATCATCATCTTAAGCTCAGACAGCAGCATGCATCTTTCGGTCGGATTGATGGTATGCAACATTAATAGATAAAAATTGGACAATTTATTCATATTTTTGTACATTTCAAATTTACTTCGCATTTTAGATCACATTTTTCTTGGGAATCACAATTTTAACCATATTTGCCAGTCTATTGCTTTACATGATCTATCAGGCCCCCATTGAAGATCTGTTGAGAACAATTTATAATCGAAAAATGAAATACTAGTATTGAGTTTTTAAATCAAAATTAATTTTAAGTAACTTAACAATTTTGACATGACAATTTTTCATTTTTCAAAAGTTGTTATTTCGAATGTAGAACAAAATACATATCAAAAGCAAAAGTTTCATCACGAGTTTTGTATGGAAAAGAAGAAAAATTGGGAATGATATGGTAAATATTTAGGTAACTTATACTTTCATTTCTGCTGTTTTGTTGAAATTGGTAATTGATTTCAGTCAATATTATTGACTTAATAATCAATCATCAATTTGTTATACATTATTTATTATTATTTCCACTATTTGCACTATATTCAACACAAAACCTTCTAAAAGCAATACAAACTGCCTAACTTTAGGAGATGTGAAAAAAAATCATCCACATCGTGCAAAATGTAACTTGTTAGTTATTAATTTTCTTGTTCTATTCGATTCGGTAATTTTAGTATTTTCAGACGATGAAACATATACAATGATTGCCAAAACAATATTTTTCTATTGTATCTTAATTCCCTGTAAATTCGGAACGTTGCTTCATTGCATCAGCATGAACTCAAAGTAAAAAGGAGAGAATTTCTGCAACGTTCCGAATATATAAATGTATATTAAGTTTATATTCACAGTACACAGAAAATATATCTACCAACTATTTTCGTCACAAAATTGATATCAGAAATTTTGTGTTTCAAATTTTGGTTTCGTCACTCGTTCATCACCTTGTTAGAGGTTTTTTATTTGATAAACTTATACACAAAAAAGCCATACCAAATACATTGGTACAGTGTCCGCGATAAGAACAACAATGAAATGCGTTTATATTTCAAATTCAAATGAGTGTGCACTTAGCCACAAGTTTGACATTTTTGACCGTTGTCCAAAAATTGTAAACCATCCTTTAAAATATCAAACTTTTGTGCAAGTGTGCATGCACATTGAAAATACAAGCATTGAGTGTACACCCTACTATGTGCGCACACTGACAAAGTGAAAATTACAGCTCTGGTAATGGGTAGTGCTCAAACTAAATAGCTAAGAGCGTAACGAAGAATAGATCAAAATGAGTGAAGAGAGTAAATTTTTTGAATTATTTCCGTGGATCACTTCGAGTTTCGTTCAAAATCTCATCGAAAAATCGGAACAAAGTAAAAATGTAATTTTAAAATCGTTCTCTGCGACACAGTGTTTTAATGACGGTGAAAATTTTTCAAGTTATATGATTGGCTTGAAAGCAATATTTGAGAGTGAATTTCATGGTGAAAAGTCATCTGATTTCTTATTGAAAATTGCCATCCAAACTGAAGATTGTGCAAAAATCTGCATAGAAGCTCTCCTTTATGAATGCGAAATTGAAGCGTACACCAAAGTTTTGCCAGCGGTTGAAAAGTTGTTGGAATCAATTGGAGAATTTGGTCAAATTGCACCGCGGTACTTAGATCGGCGTTGCTGAGAATGAAAATAAAACTTCCACAGTGAAATGAGATTTTCTTATTCATTTTCATCGACAAGTGTCTCTATTTTTCTGTTTATCTACCAAAAATTACACTGAGATAATAAGCTGTTTTTGAATTTGTGTTAAAACCCATTCAGGTGTATTACTGCCAACAACGAACGGAAAATGATTGCATTTGAAGATTTTAGAAGTCAACAATTCAAAGGTGTAAATAGCGTCGGCGGATTGAACATGGATCATATGAAATTGGCATTGTTAACTTTGGCCAAATGGCATGCTGGAACAGCTTCACTACTATTGGAAGTACGTTTGATTCATGTACGTTACAAAATATGGAAATAATCAGTGACATTTTTTCTTCTTCTTTTAGAATAATAAACTAGTTGAATGGTACAAAAAATGAAATGTGTATAAAACCGCTCCAAGTATCGAGAGATTCTACCGAAACATCGCTCAAACTGTATCAAACAAAATGAAAAAATGGTCCAGCTATGAGAATATTTCGGAAAAATTGAGAAATATTCCACAAGAGGCTTTTGATAATATACACAGATTATACGAACCTCAGATTGATGGCTTCAATGTTATCACTCACGGAGATATGTTTATGAATAACTTACTATATTGCCACGATCAAAATGGAAAGCCGATTGACATTCGATTTGTATGCCACGATAAAGAATATTACGATTCATTCCCACTTTGAATAATAATTATCAATTTTTCACTTTGTTTTCAATAGGTCGACTTTGCATGCGGAAAGCTTGTGAGTCCATCGCGTGATGTGGTTACTTTGTTGTACGGTTCTTCACATTCATCAATTAAGCAAGATGATCGCGAGCATCTCATCCAATATTACCATTCTGAGCTGGTGAAGTATTTGAAACTCTTGAAATTTCCCACAATCCCCACGCTATTCGACATTCAATCGGCATGTTTTCGAATTGATTTTTACAATGCGCTCATTATTTTATTTATCGTTGGATTACGCCACATTAATACATTTCACGATGGCGGCTATATAGATGTCGTAAATAACAATGGTCTTTACACAAATCCAAAGTGTATTGAACAACTGAAAAATCTTCTAGATATATTTGACAGGAGAGGATATTTTGATTTTTAAGTTTTTACGTTATAAAAGAATATTCGGCAAAATAAACACACATTTATTGGCATTTATTGAAACAAATTATTATGAATTTAAATTCATATTGGCATAGGAAATGATACAGGGGGAGGAAAAATTTTTAAGCCTGACATATAGACGGCACTAG